AATGTTGATCAAGGTCAAGGAGCAGCAGCTTGCACCCGAGGCCCACATCACCTAAAAACCTCTGGGGTTTGCCTTTACTGGGCCCACATAGCTCTGTTGTGTGTGTTTGCTAAGCCTGACTTGGTTCAAATGGCCAGTGTTTTGCTTCAGGCTCAATGCAGGGTCAGTGGTGTTTGCTGATCAGACTCTCTTCTCCACACCCCTACTTACGTCAGCTGTGTATCATTTACTTAATGCTCAGGACTTGGCGTCCCACCAGGCAGGTAAAAATCAGGAGTGAACAAGAAGTGTTTCAGCTATTCAAATCGCCAACCTTCACTCACTTCTCCTGGTATGCTCAGCTTAGCTCCTTTCTTCTTTCTACAGATTTGTGTACCCGTAGAGAGGGTACAATCTAGTCTGTCCTCTAGAGAGGACAGTTTTAAGAGCGTTTTGATACATAAGTTTAATTCAGGAGGCTGTCAGTCCCTTTGGCTGCACATTTAAGCCACCCCAATTGAGATGTTCATAATTAAATAAAGTTCACACCTTGATCTCTTTCTGTGTCTCTCAATTGGTTCCAAACTCAGGCAGAAAATAAAAGAAAGGTGTTATTGGGCCCTCTCAAAGTCCAACACAAATAAAAGATGATGGCATCTTCAGGGTGGTGATAGCAGATAAGGTAAGAAGCGGTGTAATTTCAGATACATTTTAGGAAGAATTGGCAGGACTCAGTGCTGGATTAGATATGGGGGGATATCAAGGGGTCCCTAAGACACCTTCACATTCAGAGATTCACTAGATTCTGGGACTCATTACAGTTACGCTATTACAGAAACTTAGTAAGGATACACAGCTGGATTGTAAAGAAAAAGACTCAGGCAGCGCGTGCAAGACTTGTGTGTGCAGGATTCCTATGTGTTCTCCCCCTCACGAGGGGCCACACAGACTGCATTCTTCCTCCAGAAATGGAAATGTAGAAACATGCCTGCAATGTTTTTGCCCAGGAAAGACTGAGACTCAGCAGCCAAAGTTTTTATTGGGGGTTGGTCACAGGCACCTCTGCTTAGCAGGTACCAAGTTCTAGAATCTCAGAAGGAAGGCAAGTGATCAGCATAGAACACATTGTTTGTACAAATAGCTTAGGCACAGTGAGTCACTTTTATCATTTAGGGAAAGCTTTATATGTGTAGGTGTAGGTGTCAGGTAAACTCATCTGATAGCAATAATTTATGCATACCCTCAGAATGACCCCGTATGGCAGATGCACCTGAATGCATGTTCTGAGCTAGGGAATCTGGGAGTAGCCAACCTGGAGAATAATTCTTTGTCTATGAGAAACATCTAATACAGGGAACTGAGGCCCTGAATTTTGGGATACATGAAGGTTGCCAGGTGGAGATTATTAGGGGGAGGGTATAAAGTGAAAATACCATATAAACTGCATGATGGTTGCAGGCGGTTGCAGTTTTCCTGCCCAGCCCACCACCACTGGACTCTGTAAGCACCTAATAAAACACCATGTTTTGTTTGCTGGCTCTAGGTCTGTTCTTCGGCCTCTTGAACCTGGTTCCTTTCCTACTGAGGTTAATGGGGCTTTGGCACAACAGTAAGAGACTGTTTACCTGCCAAGTTCTCACAAGTCAGCGAAGGGCCAATCTTGCTAGCAGACCTTTTTAAGGATAGCAGTCTCAGGTCAGCTATGTGAACTCCTTTCTGTATGGGTGGGCAAGAAGGGGTGCGGTAAGGAAAAGGGAGGAGTCAAGGAAGACATCCAGATTTCTCCCTTAAGCCTGAAGATGGACAGTGTTGTCACTTATACAGATGGAGAAGACAAACAAATGCAGATTTATGGGAGAGAACTAATATTTCGATTTTGAACACAATGAAATTAGAGATAGCTATGAATTATCAGGTCAAACTATTGTATGTTATAAACAACCTTAAAATTCCAGGGACCTTAACATAATAAAAATTTATTTCTCACTTAAGTTATGTGACTTTCACGGCTTAGTGGAAGTTAAGGAATTGGTGGGGGGATGTGGTCTCTGTTCCGCATAGTCACTCAGGGACCCAGGCTGGTGTAGGCTCCACCATGCAGAATGTTGTTAATTCTTATAATAGAAAAAGAGGCAACTGGAGAAGTCTCATCTCAGCTTTTCTATGCTTCTGTCTACAACCCAGTGTTCAAAACTGGCTATGTGGCCGCAACAAACTGTAAGTGGAGCTGGAAAATGTGTGGTAGTCGATGGGATGTCTGGTGAACACCACTGTTTCTGCCACAGTAGCCCCATGGAAATGTCAAGTAGGCATCGCCAACAAACGTATGTCTGGAGACATTTATTTAGGAGTCATAAGCACACAGGTGGCATTTAGAGCCACCCTCACTGTCTCATAATCTGAGTTCCAGGGCCTAGTAAGGGCAGTATTATCACCCTTTTCTAGTGTAAAGGAGTAGGAAATTCAGATCGGCGGACACTCTTCAAACTTCCCTATAGTGAAACTAGCAGCACACAAGTGCCTTCACTAGCAGTCAAAACAGATTTTGGCTTACGATTGAAGGCAAGTTTTTAACTTCTTTAAGAGGGGAGTCTTGGTACCTGAAAAGTCTGCCGAGAAACAGCCTGATGCTCACGGCAGAGGGACTAGACTCACAGTTTTCAGTTGAAACCATATATGAAGATATTGAGAGCCAAAATCAGGGGGAAAGCTGGCCACAGGTACCACTAGGTGTCACTAATAGGCCAAAGTTAGAAGCGTAGAAAAGGAAACGCTAAAACAAATGACGGAAGAAAAGAAAAGGTAAAACATGCCCCGAGTTGGCCACAGGTGAAATTTAGTGGTAGCATTGCTCACATTGTTCTATTGAAAAAAAAAAAAAAAAGGCAAAATAACAGTAGGAATCATGAACTTTATTCTGAACAATAATGACTTCCAAATAGACTGGATGGGTTCTTGCTGTTACCCAATGTGCATGCCTGTGTGTGAATGATTTTGTGCGTTTGTGTGTGTGTGTACTTGGGAAATGAAGAAGGGTAGTTTATTCTGACCTCCATTATAGCTTTCCAAACATCACATGACTAACCATATGAATACTTTTGGTAGAGATAAAAGAAAGTTTCTCTTCTTTCATCCTTCTTGTGTGCATGCATATGCATGTATAACTACTGAGGTCTTCGGTTTATTCAAAATCAAATTTAAGGTCGATGGATGTAAGATGTGTCCTTTTTTAATGTCCAGAATATGACGAAGTGAAAAAGGATTTCTAAAATGGCAAACCTTATTTAGTCCTTTGATGACAAGCTGGGGACTGCTAACACCTTCCATGTGCCAATAAAATCATTTGGGATGACTAACAGATAATGGAAATTATAATAAATCAAAATATATTTTATCTCTTTGATAAGTGATACATCAAAACTAGATAGTTAATTTGTGTTTGGGTCAGTGAAACAAATGGCCAAAAGGGTAATGACCCTATAAAATATTATTGATCACCCTAAAACTATACTGAAAAGAATAGAATCAGAAGAAACTAGCACTGGAGGCAAATTATTCTGAGCTATTCAACTTCTTACAGGTTGAGGCTCATTTTTAAAAACGGCATTTATATAGCACACTGAGGTAAATGGACAAAGTTCCTGGGTTTCGGCTGCTCTAGGTTCACTGGGCCACCCTAGAGCCGGAGATCAATATGTCACCATACTAAATACAAGTTGTAGCGTTCAACCTTGGGTTCACACTGGAATTACTCAGGAAGTTAAAAACATATATTGAATCTGCCCACCTGCCCCCAACCCCAAATAAATCTGTGTTTTATTTTGTTGGTCTGGCATACACACTGGGCATCACGACTTTTCAAAACTCCCAAGCAACTCTAAGGCATAACCAGGGTTAAGAACCACTGCATTGGAAGGTAGTCAAGGAAACTTTTAAAAACTTAGGCTCATCTAGTTTCCCAGCTCGGAACACAGATATGAAGGTTTGGTGGTTTTCTTTGTTGTTGTTGTCAATTCAGGGAAGTATAATGAGAAAAAAACAAAATTGCAAAGTTCAAAATATGAAAGTGAAAACTCTCCATCTCCTCCCAAAGCAACCACTATTGTTTCTTTTGATTTTTCCAGAAAAAGTTTATATACATACCTGCATGTTTGTATTTCAAAAAATAATTTTTGTTTACATTAAAGACAGCACACCGCATATAGTATTCCATGCTTTGCCTTTAATATTCATTACATCATGGACCTGTCCTTTGAGTATACAGTACACAGCCACGAAGTAATTCACGTCTGTACTGTTGTGCTGTGTTTTATTGAACCATTCCTCCGTGTTATCACTTTAGTTATTCTGATTATTTCATTGCAAAAAAACATCCTTTTTTTTTTTTTGTGATGGAGTTTCGCTCCTGTTGTCCAGGCTGGAGTGCAACGGCGCCATCTCGGCTCACCGCAACCTCTGCCTCCTGGGTTCAAAGCTCTTCTCCTGCCTCAGCCTCCCGAGTACCTGGGATTACAGGCATGGACCACTACACCCGGCTAATTTTATGTTTTTAGTAGAGACGGGGTTTCTCCATGTTGGTCAGGCTGGTCTGAAACTCCCGACCTCAGGTGATCCGCCCGCCTCGGCCTCCCAAAGTACTGGGATTACAGGCGTGAGCCACCACGCCCTGCCTTAACATCCTTATACACGGATTACAAGCATCGCGAAGACCTGCAAATATTTGTATAGGGTAAATTCCTGAACGAAATCGCTGGGCGCATCTAAAATTTGAATAAATGTAATGAGACCAACAAACATCTAAAAAGTAAACTGATGCTATCCACATTTGTCAAGCACACGAGTAGGCCTGCCAGTTTGAAGGTGCTGGCTAGGCGCTGTTGGCCAGCGATCTCTATCAACCAGGGTCAGGGTCATCTGCCGGCAATGCCATAGAGGCGGTCCTGGGGGCGGGCCTTCTCCGTTCACGTGGATGACCTTGCCCCGCCCCGTCGAGGCGCCGCGCGAGTCTGGAGCTCTGGCTCGCGCAGTAGCGTCACGTGGAGGCGGAGCGAGAACTCGGGGACAGTAAGTTCTGTTCTCGCCGCGCAGGGGGCGGGCTCGCGGGACCAGCTGCTTCCGGCTGGGCCGCGGGCGTGGACTCGGCATTCCGGCTGTGGCGGGGTTGCTGGCCTGTGGCCTTTGTTCCGGGCCGCTGCAAGGCCTGAGGCCTCCTGGGTTTCGGTTCAGCGTTAACTGTTAACCCGCCAGGGCAGGCTTCCGCCCAGGCACAGGAGACCCACTGAGCTTGTTCACCTTGAAACTTGGGCTACACCTGAGACCTGCCACCTCAGGGGGGTATGCGGGTCGTTCTAACAAGCTTTCATGGCATTCGTGCGCTCTAAAGTATAGAAGCTGCTCCAGGCTACCGCAGCCCCGGCCGTCCTGGAGATACTCTCTCCTGGAGTCTGTAGTGGAGAATTTACAGCACCTGGACAGCCACGTGCAGTCTCCGAACTGCAGGCCGTCTTTACCGAAATGTTAAACACAGCTTGAAGTTAGGCAGGATAACTGCCGGAGCTGGATGGACCTTAGAGGTGCCAGCTAACGCGCTTTGAGCTTTTTCTGCGTTAGGCGTGCTCTAAACATTTGACGTGTGTTAAAGCGTTTATGTGTTTTACCCTATGTGCACCCCGATGTGGCGGGCCCTTCTTACAGTAAAAGAACTGCAGCACAGCGAAATTAAGCAACTTGCCCCAAATCACGCAGAACTGGGATGCAAACCCAGGTCTAGCTCACTCGTGATCACATCTTTGGTGACATATATAAATATCAGTACTATATATATCACCATTTTTTTTGCTTTGCTAAAATTTTGCTTTGCTAAAAGGTTTTTTTGTCTTCAGGGTAGTTTACTTGCAAGCCCCATGTTTTTATAAAAATGTGGGTGCTACCTGAATAAAACTAATGCCTACCCCTTGGTGGTTTTGTGAAGACTGATGAACTATTATATTCAAAGGGTCCAAGCAGTAAGCATTTACTGAAGGACAGCTAGTTTTATCCATTATTATTCTGCCATTCAGAAACTACTAAGACATTTTTCTTCCCTGCACCTAAAAGCAAGGGTGTCAAACTTGAGATAAGCATTCTGATAACGTGTAGGCAAAGTTTCCAGACTTAGTAAAAGCACCTTAGTCATGGCTCAAGAGGAGTGACAAGTAAGTACGTTTCACTTCGTGTCTCTTTTATCTCCAGCGTCTTGTGGAAATTTGAGTTACACTAAATATTTTTAAAAATTCAACTTGAATTTATTTCCTATGTCGGAAAGGGATCTAATAGTGACCGAGTATCCATTCAGCTGATTTGTAATTTTATATGGAGTTAGCACCTTTAGAAACCAATTTTAGGGACAGGCCAAAAATTTTTCTCGATGAGAACATGGAACACAACAACTAAATTTTTCAGGGGGAAGTTTTCATCTAGCCCCCAAACTGGATGAGTCCTTTAATTTTCTGTTTCATTCAGTTAAGATTCCACTATCTTAAAGTAGACTTAAAATCGAAATACATTGGGAGTTTATGAATAGTTCATCAAAATAACGATAATTAAGGTGAACACATGGGCTTTTCCTGTTGTCTGAATGGTTCATGATATTCACAATAGTAAGAATAATATGGGTGTTAAATGTAAAAAGTCATCAGATATTATAAATGGTACCATTTAAGATACATAGAGGAAACTATTATTTGACATATAAAATAATACTTTCTAAGCAAAATGCAAGGCCGTAATCATAGTTCTCTGAAGCCTTTATCGTTTAGCCCCAGTCTTCTCTGCTCCTTTTTTATCAGCCCCTTCAAAGTTCACCAGTTTTTCGGGTTGGAGGCAAACCTTGCAAAGACTGTAAGTTTGTAGTGACTCAAATTTGAGAAAGGCCTGTGTTTGGTTCTCATTTATTTGGGAGTTGGGAAAACATAATTAACTTTTGATATTATACTACATCTCTTGTATTTCATTACTTTTTGATAGTACTTTTCTATTTTTTGCCTGGAAGGAAAAAAAAAAAGAACTATTCATTCCTCCTTTGGTGCCAAGTTTTGAAATTAGCTGTACAAAAGTCTCAAAATAGTTCATTCATGATCTATGCACAGGCACATTCTCCGAGGACAGAAAGGGCAATTTTATTCCATTTTTCTTGGGTTTGGGGTCATTTGCTACATAAATATAAATTAGGATACAACTTAAGTCTTGAAAAGAGTAATTTTAAATATAAGAAATAAGTATTTTTAAACATTTAAGAAATATTTATCTCCTTGCTTTTCTTTATATATTTACCTTATAGTACATATATCCATGAATAATATACTGTTTGGTTTTGCCACTTTTGTGATAAAAATGGAAACATCCTCTGACTTTTTAAATTTTTCACTTGCAATTATGTTTTTTGAAATTAATCCAACTTGATGTAGAGATACATTTTTCACTGCTGTACAGCATTCCATTGAACATACACACATTCCTTTCTACTGTTGATGGGTTTTATGTTGTTTTTGTTTTTTGCTGTTATAACTATTCTTGTATATGTTTCCTGGTATATCTGTGTGCATTTCTGTGGCATATACCCGAAGTGGGATTATTATTATTATGTTTAACTTTACTAGGTAATGCCAAATTGTGGTAGCACAAATTTATGTTATCACTAGCAGTTCCATATTTTCACCAATACTTGGTATAATTTTTTGTCAGCCTGGTGGATAGAAAATAGTATCACATTAATGACTTTGCTTTGCATTTCCTTTGCGTTTTCCTGCTAATGAGGTTGAATGTCTTTACATATATTGGCCATTCAGATTTCTTTATTTGTGAAATGTTTGTTCATGTCTTGCCCATTTTTCTATGATTACTTGTTATTTTTTTTACTGGCCTATAGGAGTTATTCATATATTCTGAATCTCAAGCCTTTGTCAGTTATATGTATTGCAAATTCCACATTTCTTTCTTTTCTTTTTCTTTAGCCTGTTTCCCCTTCTTTCAGTTCATTCCTTTGTCTGTTCCCATTTTTCTTATTATTATGCCTCTGTTCTGTCACAAAATGTGTTGAAGGCTGCATGCCCAACTCTGAAGGTAAATACTGCCACCTGAGCAATTTATGTTCTTTGAGTACCTGCCCAAATCAAATAAAACCAGATGACCATTCAGAGATAGTATTCCTGCCTCCTGTCAGCCATAGCTAACCCAGAAAATCATGGCCCTGGTCCTCTTTGCCTTTGCTTTAAAATAATAAATTTTTCTTTTTTATTGTGAGATAATTTTTAAAAACAGCATATGTATTTTGTATCCCCCCATTTTAAAAAAAATTGGTTAGAGCAAGAATTAAAAATGCAAATTTCAGAGTGCAAATTTGACATCCCTATAATTTTCTAAGCTTGATGTGTGTGATGCCTTCCTTTATACATTGAATTCAAAGCCCCTGCCTCTCCCCATCAACACACATGCACACATGCACAAACATGCACACACATACCTCTCTATCTACACCTCAATTTTGGAGCCTAGACTTACAATGATATCTGATATTTGTCTTCCACATGGCTCAGAACTATTTCTCTCAAAATAGTGACCTATAAATTCTCTTTTTCTAAAGCTCACTCCTAACACACTAACTTAGAGATTTTACTCTTAATAATTTTTGTTTTATAAACTTACTTTTTAAATGAACCATGCTCTTTTTCTGCTAACATTTTAAAACTTCCAATCAGTTATACAGGCTTAAATAAATATTTAGAGAAGGCATCAGGAAAAATTCTCTGCAGAAGGCCTAAAGTCACTTGGCACTTCATGAAAACATTTTCTCTTTTTTGGGGAAGGGACTGGCCCATAGTGTGTAACCATTCTAAGCTAGGTACACTGAGGTACAAATGCCTTCTTTAAAGAAGTTGGATAGGGCCGGGCGCGGTGGCTCATACCTGTAATCCCAGCACATTGGGAGGCCGAGGTGGGCGGATCACGAGGTCAGGAGATCGAGACCATCCTGGCTAACACGGTGAAACCCCCGTCTCTACTAAAAATACAAAAAATTAGCTGGACGTGGTGGCGGGCACCTGTAGTCCCAGCTACTTGGGAGGCTGAGGCAGGAGAATGGTGTGAACCCAGGAGGTGGAGTGAGCTGAGATTGAGCCACTGCACTCCAGCCTGGGCTACAGAGTGAGACTGTCTCAAAAAAAAAGAAAAAGAAAAAGAAAAAGAAGTTGGATATATGTGTTTTTATGTAAAATGGTAACCTAAGACTTGAGTGGAATTAAAATGCAGATTCCTGTTGATCAAGGAAAGGTACATTATATTGTTTAACTTCCTGTGAAATACTACAATATTACTATATTTGAAAAAGGCATGGATGATGAAGTATCTTCCTAAAGTTAGAATATTTATTTGAAGTTGACACCTGGTTTGTAATTTTGTTAAATATTTGTAGATAAGTGTGTGTTTAATATCTTGAGCATTTCACAGCAAACTTCTTTCTTAAATATTTTTAGAGACAGGGTCTCACTCTGTTGCCCAGGCTGGAGTACAGTGGTATGATCATAGCTCACTGAAGCCTCAAACTACTGGCCTCAAGTGATCCTCCTCCCTGGGCCTCCTAAGCAGCCAACCCTACAGGCAAGTACCAACCCACCTGGGTAATTTTTAAAAAATATTTTTATGTAGAGCTGGGTCTCGGTATGTTGCCTAGGCTGGTCTTGAACTCCTGGTAAGTGATCTTCCCACCCTGAAAGTGCTGGAATTACAGGTGTGAGCCACTGTCCTGAGTCATTATTTTGATGCAAGGACAGGATCAAACCTATAACCCTTAAGCCTGTTCCTAAAAATAATATTGAGATATTTCTTAGTCTTGATTTTTTTCCCACCTTTTAATTTCTATATTTGGCCAAAAGGATACTAAAGAGTAGACTAGGAGATAAACTTTAGAAATACAGGGAAAAGATAGTAGTAATGGTTATATTCTGAATATAAGCTCTTACTTGGATACTAATCAGTATTTGATTTCTAGAAGGGTGGATGTATAGGGAGTAAATGAACTTACAAAGAGAAAAGGGTACAGGGTAGGCCCAACTCTTTATAGAACAACCATAGTGTCAGGACAGTTTCTTAGGATCCTTGAGTTTTCTTCATGTATTATTTATTGTTTAGTACACAGACATGACCAGCATTGGAATTTATTTGGCCTCATTGCCTGTCTTTTTTTTCTAGGTTACCACCTATTTGCAATTCAAGGAGAATATAAGATAGAGAAGAAAGCTGTGAATGAATTTCATTTGATTAGCAATAGTTTGGATACTCTACTGGTCTTGCGTCTCTACAACCTCTCTTCCACCTGACCCCTAAATGTTGAAGTGCTTCAGGAATTGTCTTAGACCTTCCTCCTTACATACACTTCCTCTCCAAGTGAGTCCATAGAATTCTATAACCTGGAAACTCCCCAATTTTTCTCTCTAGATATTCTCAACTTTAGTCTCTTATATCTGGTTGCTGACTTGATATCTCTACTTGGATGTCTCTGCGATACCTTAAACTCAATATGTGCAAAATGTATATAGCTTTTGATTTTCCATCCTGCAAAAATACCATTGATTTCTTGGCCTTTCTCATCACAGTCTTTCGCACTACAGTTCACCTAGCTGCACAAACCTAAAACTTGGGAGTCATCTTTATTTATTTTTCTGTAGCATCAACCCAACTTCTCTGTACTATAAAATTAAAATAATGATACCTTTTTAGTATCATGGAGGATTAAAGGAGTTAATAAATAAATGTAGCCTTAGAATAGTGCCTGGCACATAGTTAACACAATATAATTGTAGCTACTGCTGCTACTGTTACTATTACTTTTTCTCCCCTACAGTGTCAACCCCCTGGGGCAAACCACCATCTTTTTCATGGACCCCTAGCTTTCTGATTTCTGTGCATCCATTGTTGTTTTGCTATAATCCATTCTCCATAGAGCCGGGGCATTCTTTCAAAAAGAAATCAAGTCACACTTTCCTGCTTTATACTCTTTAGTGGCTTTCCTTTGCTCTTAGAGTAAAATCTGTACACAGCACTGCACAACCTGGCTCCTGCCTATTTACCAATCTTGCACATGATGTTCCAGTCTTCTGGAACACATTCACCAAGCCTTTTCTTTCCTTCAGGCTTTTGTATTTGCTATTCCTTCAGTATGGAATTCCCTTCCCCCAGCTGTTGGCATGTCTAATTCATTTGCATTTTGGGCATTTCAGCTCAGCTGTCATCTCAGTTACCAGTTTTTATCTGAGGTAAGAAAATGAAAAGTTTTCATTCATACCCATCTTCTCTTGCTGTAATAGCTATCTGGTTGTGCCTGTAAGAGCCAACTGTGTACTCTAGGCAAAACCAGGTGGACCACCTTAGCCAAGAGGCTGAAGACTATTCAGACAATCAAAGAATCCTGCCTTTAGCAGAAGGCTGAGAACAATGCAGATAATAACTGAATGTTGTTTAGTGTTAAATTTGATAGGAAATAAAGGGATAGTGAAACTTAAATTTCTATGTTTTACAAGTTCTGAAATTTCCTTCTTGACCTCGAAATGAATCTAATATAACTCTAGCCTCAAAGTGAGGAATCCTCCCTAATTTTGGCAGTCTTTAAGAGTCTCTAACGCAAAGTAATGACTGTCTACTTAATATAATCCAGTATTTATGGCTGGGCGCAGTGGCTCATGCCTGTAATCCCAGCACTTTGGGAGGTTGAGGTGGGTGGATTACTTGAGGTCAGGAGTTTGAGACCAGCCAGGCCAACACAGCAAAACCCTGTCTCTACTAAAAATACAAAAATTAGCCAGGTATGGTGGTGGGCTCCTGTAATTGCAGCTACTGAGGAGGCCAAGGCAGGAGAATTCCTTGAACCTGGGAGGCGGAGGTTACAGTGAGCCGAGATCATGCCACTGCACTCCAGCCTGGGTGACAGAGTGAGACTCTGTCTCAAAATACTAATACTAATACTAATACTACTACTACTAATAATAATCCAGTATTTATAAATGTTTTATGTAGCTACAGAAAGTGCCTCCATTAATCTTGAAAAGTCCAAACTATTCATTCTTATGGTTATCTCCATTAAGTTGGAACCAAATTAGTGAATACTTCTTGTAACTTTCCTTCTTTACGTTCAACTAGCATGAATCTTGATGGCTCTGCACAAGATCCTGAAAAGAGGGAATATTCTTCTGTCTGTGTGGGCAGAGAAGATGACATTAAAAAATCTGAAAGAATGACAGCTGTTGTCCATGATAGAGAAGTGGTCATTTTCTACCACAAGGGAGAATATCATGCTATGGATATTCGCTGTTACCGTAAGATTTTATTTTTCATTTGTAAAACTTTAAACCATAAAACTATCAAAATTTCAGTTTTTTTAGTGACTGCAGGTAATATCCGATTCCTTTTCAGACTCAGGAGGACCTTTACATTTGGGAGACATAGAGGTATGTAAAATTAAATTTATTTTCAGCAAATTCAGCATATACATATATTCAAAACTAATTTATAGTTGGTTTGAACTATATTTTAATGCTTTGAGTATAATTTCAAGTATTCTTGGAATTCATAACATAAATATGAGAAATACGCATATCTTTTGACCTAGCAATTATACTCTATATCTATTCTATGGCCATAATTGCACAGATGTTTAAGTATTTGTATAGGAATGATTCATTGTAGCATTATTTATTATAATGAATTGAAGGCAATTATTCATTATAATGTTTTAACAATAGGAAACTGGTTAAATAAATTATGATACAGCCATGCTGTGGAATAACTGTACCTTGCAATCATTAAATTAATGAGGCAGATCTATATGAGTATGGAGAGATGTGAATAATGTATTTGTGACTGAAAAAAGCAAGTCATAAGATAATAGTCTTATGAGATCTCATGTTTTTCATCAAAAAGAATATTCACTTTTTACTTTATACACTCTACATAATTTGAATTTTTTACAATGAGTATATATTACTTTTATAACAAAAATATACAGTATAAATATATTTTTAAAGAAATAAACCACACGGTAGTCTTAACTGAGGAAGAAGTTGTCTTTGCTTCCTTGGATTCCAAAAGTAGTCACCTAAATTTCTTCTTTCTTCATTAAATTGGTCTCTCTCTCTCTCTAACTGATGCAAAGTACAAGCTTGAACTTAGCATTCCACTTTCTCTACACTTGATGAGTGTACACACCTGTCCTCATGTTAAAGAACATATGTGTGTTTATTTTTTCTATTTTTTCCCATTGTTCAAAACCACATATGTGAATCTTTGCTGACAGTTTTATGTAATGTAAATTATGAAAATGTGAATCTTTGCTGACAGTACAAATCAGTCACCAAATGAAAGTACAAATCAGTATTCCTGCACTTTTGGATATAGAGGGGAAAAATGAAAGCACCCACTTACATTTGTGAGCTGATAATAGTTTCATAGAATTTTCCCTAGTTTCAGTCCATAATGAGAGCTTGAAGACCTTGCTCCTCAAACTGTTGTCCATATACCAGCAACTTTGGTGTCACATGGGAGCTTTTTAGACATGCAGAATCTTGTCACCCCAACCCCTTAGACGTACTACATTTAAACAGAGAGACATACATTGAAACAAGATCCAGGTGCTTCCTGTGTTTGAGAAGCACTTCACCAAGACAGTTAAAAAGTTGAGAATTAACTACTTTGGATCACAGATTGCTCTTCTATTATCATATGCACTCATGCCTTTAGTAACTCCTTTTGAATTTATATCCGAACCTTATAATTCTTCTAGAAGCTAGTGAGAATTCCAGAAGCTAGTGAAAATTCCTATAGAAGCACTTGAAGTCCTTGCCCCATTTCTGTCAAGGAGGTGACATTGACATCTAATAGATAACCGCACAGCTGCAGTCACATGTTTTAGTTGCCTGAGCATGTCAGTCTTCTGATAGAGCTCTAACTGGCTTTCTGATCAACTGTAAAAGAGCTTGATGACTCTTCTCAGATTAGGATCTGCTTTATGCTGTATAATTTGTAAATAGGAGGAAAAAAGAAAAGCTAACCTGTTTTTTAACCTGGTTCTTCTGCAGCAGATTCTCTTCAGAGTCTATGGTGTATCAAGAACATTTGACATGTCAGAATATTAAATGAGTTATTCTCTTCCCCAGGATTTTGATGGACGACCGTGTATAGTTTGCCCCTGGCATAAATACAAAATTACTTTGGCAACAGGAGAAGGTCTGTACCAGTCTATAAACCCTAAAGATCCATCAGCAAAACCCAAGTGGTGCTCCAAAGGAGTAAAGCAAAGGATTCACACAGTGACAGTAGACAATGGGAATATTTATGTGACTCTTTCTAGTGAACCTTTTAAGTGTGACTCTGATTTTTATGCCACTGGAGACTTCAAAGTAATTAAGAGTTCTTCTCGATAAAAAAAATATATAGAAATGAAAAATATTGTGTATGCTTGAAAACATTTTTAGAATAACTGCTTCAGCTTTAAAGGTGATGAAATTTTTCAACATAGGCACAACTATTTAAAACTCATATAAATTTGAGAGGTTTAAGAGCACACATACTTAGTATGATGTAAGGATTATCAGGATCAATAGAATACATTTTATCTAATCTTCTGTATTAATTAGAACCTGAAGGTTATAGGATTGGGATGTTCTGTTTAAGAAGGATGAAAATAAATTTGGAGTAAACAAATAATAGGTAAAAATTAAGGTTTAGCAAGAAAATTTTTTTAATTTAATTTTTAAAATAGGAAAAAATCCCTATTTGATGTAGCAGATTTAATTCTGAAAAAGTTTTAATATATACAAAGTAGACTATATAATGAACTTCCATCAGTCAGCTTTAACAGTTATCAGCATTCTTCCATTCTTGTTTTATTTATATCTCTATGGATTCCCTACCTCTCCTATTTGATTGTTATTTTTACATTTTTAGGTAAAGTTTAAATACATTGAAATGTTCACATCTGAACTGTACAACTTTC